TTGGCCAAGTGGCAGCATCGATGGACTCAAGCATGGCAACAGTAGTGAGGTTGGCCCAGGATCGGGCAATGTTTCATTCTGCTGTGCATAAGGTCGCTCTGGGACGATATGGACTCAATGGCACCTAACAACAAGAACATGCCCCATAGAATACTTGGGACATACCTATACTTAAATTTTTTTTGTAGTTTATCTGAAACTCAAATTTTACTGGCATCCTGTATTTTAATTTTGTATTCTGAAAGGAGAGCTGGTGATGCTGTAGTATAAGCACAGGACTGCTCACCATGGATTGGTGAGAGATGAGGCTTTCTGTTACCATGCAGATTTACCACCTTGGAAACACTATACAGGGCCACTGTGAGTCAGAACTGACTTGATGGCACCTACCAACACCAACATATTCTGAAAGATGGTTCGTGTCCTGTGTTCTTGCTGGGGAGAGGTGTCGGGCCAGCTGGTGTTGTTTGTTTATATCCTCATCTTGAGTTATGACAAAGTCAGAATCAGAAACCAAACTTTCTGATTCTAAACTATGTGCCAGCTCTATGCCTTTTCATTGCTTTCTGAACATTTGGGATTTTGATGAATTACAGGAAGAGAAGAACTGGAAAAAGGGAGAATGGCAAAGGGAATGTTGATTTCTCAGAATCTTTCTTCGGAATGAAATGCTGCTTTGTTATGGTCTTTCTTTGCCATTGTAGGTGCTGACCCCATATGCTATTTCGACCCCGATGACAAAGCATCTAAATCCCAACTTGATAACCAAGACTGCTGATGACTTTGTGAAAGAATCGCTGAATTACGTGACTACTGGAGAGGCACACTGTGGCTGCCTTGCCCATGAAATATTGGTAACTTATGACTTTTTACTTACTTGAAATAATGAGGCCAGGTGCTCAGGCAGCCCTACTTGGGCTTAAATAGCTCTTCCTTGCTACTGAAACACTTAGGATTCTCTCTCATGGCAAGACTGGTGATGCCAGAAGGTGTGCACTGAGCACTAGTACAGCCAGGGAAGTGGATTTCACAGCAAGAGAGAAATGACTGCCTGAATGGTGCAAATGGCTAAGCAACAGCTACTAACTGTAAGGTTTATGGCTCAAGTTTACACAGAAAGCACCTTGGAAGAAAGACCTGGTGATTTTTTTCAGAAAGGTCCCTTTCTACTCTGACACACATGAGACAGAAGTGAATGTAATGTTTTCATGGGTCATCCATGTTGTATCATGTATTAGAGCTTCCTTTCTCTTTGTGACTGAATAATATTCCATTGTATATATACCAGAGTGTATTTATCCATTCATCTGTTGATAAACACTTTGGTTGTTTCCACCTTTTGGCTATTTTGAACAATGTTGCAGGGAACATTAGTGCACATAGATGTGTTTCTATCCCTGGGTTCAAATCTTTTGTATATATGCTCAGGTGTGGGATTACTGGGTCATGTGTTAAATTGATGTTAACTTCTTGAGAAACCACCAAACTGTTTTCTACAAGTGACTGCATAATTTTACATTCATCAGCAAAGGATGTTGTTATTATTGTTAAGTGCCCCTCGAGTCAGTTCTGACTCATAGAGACCCTGTATAGGGTTTCTGAGGAACAACTGGTTTGAACCACTGACTTTGCAGTCTATTGTTTATGTTAAAGCACCATGTCAGCAAAGGATAATTTCTTCATGGAAGTGGTGGTGGTTTTTGCCACTGAGTTGATTCCTACTCATACCTATCTATTATAGGGTTTCTGAGGCTGTAAATCTTTACAGGAACAGAATGCCTCATTTTTCTCCTAAGGTACGACTGATAGATAAAAACGGCTACCAGGGCTCCTTAATTTCTCCATATCCTCACCAATTCTCGTTAGTTTCTGTTTATTAAAAGTCCTCCTGTAAATGTGCAATGGTATCTCATTTTGATTTTGATTTGTATTTCCCTATTGACAAATGACGTTGATCATCTTTTCATGTGCTTAGTGGCCTTTTGTATATCTTCTTTGGAGAAATGACTATGCAAGTCCTTTATAAATGGATTGTTTTCCTTTTTGTTTTTGAGTTGGAGGAATTGTTTATATGTTCTGGATATTAGACCTTTATGAAATATATGGCTCTCTAGAATGTTCTTTGATCTGTAGGATATCTCTTTACTTTCTTGAGAAAGTCCTTTGATTCACAAAAGCTTTTAATTTTGATGAAGTCCAATTTAACTATTTTGCTTTTGGTTCTGTGGTTCTGGTGTCACCTGTAAGAATTCATTTTCAAAATTAGCCCTGAAGTTTCACCCTTTCTCATTTCTATAGGAGTTTTATGGTGCTAGTTCTTTGTTAAGGTCACTGATCCATTTTGAGCTAATGTTTGCATATAGTGTGTGGAATGGGTCCAAGACCTTCCCCTCTTTTTAAAAGCAAATGCTCCATGTTAATAACATGCCTGATGGGGACTGCTTTCATGATGACTTTCTTTTTTTTTTTAATGTTTTATTATGAATTATGTGATAGTTTACATGGGAGAACGTTAGCTTTACATTCATCCTATCATATATTGTTTCATCGCCATGGTTACAATCCCCTTCTTGCATCATCAACCAACCACAGGGTATACGCTGCAAGTCTGCCCACCCCTTTCATCAGCACACAGCCCCTCTCCTTCTCTGGGTCTAAAGTCTCCAGCTGCTCCATCTCTCCACGTCATCATTTCTGCCTCCATCGCTGGTGTCACTGCTTCTCTGGGTTGGGTCCTGCACACCACTCTTCTCCCTTGATGGTCACAGGGACCTCCGCTCCTAGACTGCAAAGTTAATCACTCTCCTCCTTGCTACAAAATGTCTACCTTTACATTTCCAACCCTCACAATCAGTCCTG